GGTGTGCCTGTGCCCTCCCCCTGCCCCTGCCAAGCCCCCCCAGCCCTGCTGCTGCCGCTCACTCCTGACCCACAGTACCATGCATCCTGCCAGGGCATATAGGGACCCCCACTCCCCAGGATCCAAACCCCACTCACGCACCCACAACCCCCAGTACCTTCGTAACTTCTGCCCTCACCCCCCCACCCACTCCCAACCGTACCAAGTACCTGCATAATTTTGTATAATTTTGAGTTTTTCTGCGCATTATTTTGAGTTTTTAGCTGAGAGATTAAAATCACGATTAATTGTGACTAAATTTTTTAATTGCACAATTAATTGCAATCACGTTTTTTAATCATTTGAAAGCCCTAATTTGCAGACTACTGTTTAACCGAAACACAAGTAGGATTTTCCCTACAGTTTCATACACTGTTGAATAGTATCTGTCCTAAATAACGTGCAAAGGTAACTTTGCCACTGGCTCATTTTGTGCTAATTATAAGAGATGAGCTTAGTTTTTTGAATGAGGGCAATCACTAATCATTTTGTATGTTTTTCTCAAGATGATATTGCACTAAGATCCACAGCCTATTTTGAGTTGTTCTTATTGTTTGTTTTTTTCAAGTGTCATACAGCAATCTTGTCTTTTCAATTTACAAAGAGACCCATATTAAAAGCTCTCTGTATTGCTGTTGGGATTTATTTCAAACTGGTGCTAGGAGCTAACCAATATATTTGTACAGCCGTTGCTTTTATGGTTTGAATGGCCCGATACTAATCTAGGCATTTTTACATTGTATTATGATTACATTTGCATGGATTGACAATAAACCTGGCACCTCCCGTCTTATTACCATTGCATTTTATTTGGATGTACTTCCGTTTTTCTATCATTTATAACACTTTCCTTTTGGGAGAAACAATCTAATTTAAATATGCATTGCTCCTTACAAAGGCAAGTCCATGTATAATCATAACATTGCTTATCTTGATTATTACTTTTATTGCAAGTAACTTTGTCTCTAACTTGCCTGCTAACTATTCATATTCACATGACTTAGATTTATTGCTCTGGTTTGTGGTCCTATTTGGTTACTACTGTTTAAGAAAATGTACAATTCTTAAATGATGTTCTTTTATAGATCCCCAGTTATGCTTCAGTTGCCCACAAATGATTGGTTCTCAATATAGGGCTAACTAAATAATATCTCAAGGCTTGTATTAATGTATAGGGTCACCCTAGATGGGGTAATGACCCTTTAAAATCTTAAACCTTGTGAAAGAATTTTTGAACACGTTGAATGATTTTTTCCCATACGTTTCCCAATATGCTTGCACAGGGGCAGTCATTCACACTGTCTAGTTTGTGTGAAATATCACTTGTTTTCATGAAATCTTGGAAGTACTAGAGTTGAGAGGATGCCTGGTTCATTGGTTAAAGCTGTGACTTGCAAAATTCAGATTCAGTTTTCTGTTGTGCATAATATTTCCTGTGTGATTTAAGGGAAGTCAATACATTTTTCTCTCTCTTGCTCACTGTCTCTCTCTGTTTACCCATCTGTAAAATGGGGACAATAGTAGTTTTTACCTCACTATTTTCTTTTGATAAATAGTATAAAGTTGGTACCCACAGAAAAGTAGGTAAGAGATTTAAATCAGTCACAACACTTTTTTAAAAAGAAAATATTGAAATAAACTAAGATTTAAGAAATCTAAAACATACCAAAGGGAACTCTTTTAAGCATCTGCCTCTAATGGGTATATAAAAAACACTTCAAAGTTTCCCATAGTAAGCACATGAATAATATCCGTATCCTGTTGCAGTCATCCTATTGCAGTTGAGTTGTTGTGTGGGGTTGAGTTGAAAATTAAGTTGGTGGTGACTTGCAGGTTCTCAAAAGTTTGGAATGTTAAACTCCATGCTAGCGAAAGGGATTTAATGGTAGAGAATATGTAAGCTATCCTAGCTGAAGAGTGTATTAGAATCATGTTTTTCCAATATTACCAGAGATCCCTGCTGCAAATATATCATACTACATTTACCATCCAAGGTAAAGGATTCTGAATGTATATGAAAATTAATACTAATTCTAATATAAGTTTTAAATAATTATTATATAAACCATAATTTTTTATTCAAATTAGGTATTTTCACTCACATTGTACTACTTTATGCTCGGAGCCATACAAGCAACATTAGGATAATGTTTACGTATGGTACATTACTAGTACGGCAAAAGCTTTTCTTGAATTGAGACTTTGGGATGTTTCACTGTCAGAAAGGAAGGAAGGCTTCATTCAGTAAGAAAGGAGCAGAAACTCTACACATTCTGTGTATGCACATACACTCCCACCTACGCACATAAAATGTTGCCTTTTGTGTGTGTAATCTTCCTTTATTATTTTGCCAAAGTAGCATCATGTATGTATTTTGAAGACAAATTACATATTGTAATGAATACCATATCTAAAAAGTAAAATGCCATTAAAGTGTAACAGCTGCTCTGCTAAGAGAAGAGGCAGTTAAAGGGATGATATTGTTCTGTTGTGACTCTAAATATTCTTCTCACAAGACGTGGTGCAATTATTCCTTTTTTTCTTCTTTTTTTCCAATTTAGGTGCTACAAAAGCTAGGGAAAGCGGATGAAACAAAAGATGAACAGTTTGAGGAATATGTTCAAAACTTCAAACGGCAAGAGGTTAGTTTCCTTTTTGATTTGTCTAATTGTATCTCCAAAAAAATCAGGTGTAGTTGAAATCAGTGTGAAGAAAATGTAGGGTAGTGGGTCAAACAAAGGCTATCAACAAATATTTTCTTTGGAGCGGAATCAGCTGTGCTGGGGTATATTCCAGTACATCTTAATCCACTTCATTAGCATCTATGGATGTTGCCATAGCTGTTGTTGCTGTTGTCCTGCAAGATCAGGCACCTGCCACTGCTGGGGCTTCAGGGGCCTGATCTTGCAGGACAATGGCCCTGATTTGCAGCATGTGTTTGTAAGCAGGTTCCTCTACTTGCAGGTGCATAACCTGAGTTGGGGTGCAGAAGCTGGATATGCCACTGTGGGAATCCCCTGAAGAGGGTTTCCCATGGCAGGCAATAAGTAACAGATGTTCTCCCATTTTAAGGTGTTATTAACTGTGATTACCTTTGGTCATAGCACTTTTTTTTTACTACAAGGGGCTAGGATGTCCATTTGCTCACAACGCTTGCTGTCCTAAAAACGTTTATGGTGGGCTGGGCCACACTAATCATATGTGACAGGCTGTTTGGGGCCCTGTTTGATTATGTTTGCCAGATATTTAAGGCTGGTGAAGAAACAGGAATAATTGGAAATGAGAAAGAAAGACGCAGCTCAGCTGTGGGAGTGAAGAGGAGGTCAAAATGTATGCAGTGTATTGGCTCACTATGACTTGAAAAAGAGTCAGCACTGAGAGGGACTGTAGGCAGTGGCACTACCATGCCTTATTCAAATAGGATACACTACATTATCGTTCTGGTTGGTTCCCATCCACGTTTGCCCAATATGTGACAAGCTTTTATAGTCATGCTAAATTTTGGCTGCATTTAATTAACTTCATAGCTCATTTCTATTACTGAGCACATGTTGCTTTTGGCAGCAGTTTAATGATAGAAAATGTATTTAATGAGGTTTCCTTGTATGCAAATGTAAGATGAGAGGCTTTTTCCCGCATGCTTATTGGAGGAAAAAAATGCCATCATGTATTTGAACAAATACAGTAGATTAATGCTAGCATGACTTTGTCATTTGTAGTACGAACATGAATTGAGGTCTCCCGTTTTTTTAGTCAGAACCTTTCTGTTCTTGCTTATGCATATGGTTATTTTTATTTTTAATTTGTATTTAAATAGTGCAGGCCCAGGACCTTATTTCCTTTCTTGAATCTCTTCCTGAATGAACTCTGGATACAAAATATCTATCTTATTTATCCATTGTGTTTTACATATAAATGAAAATGAATGAAATAAAAAAATTTATTGTTTAATTAACCTCCTGAACTGCTCACATCAGCAGGGGAAATGTAGGTTGGAGATTAGGAGTAACTTTCTGACTATGAGGGTAGTCAAGCTTTGGACCAGGCTACCTAGAGAAACTGTAGGATCTCTATCCTTGGAAGTTTTCAAGAGCAGGTTGGACAGACACTTGGCTGGGATGGTTTAGTCAGGGATGATACTGCCTTGAACAGGGGGCTGGAGTAGATGACCTTGTAACAATGTCCCTTCCAGCCCTACTTTCCTATGATCCTAAGACACATCTAAGGCTACTTTCTGTGTCTGTTCACATTCTCTCTCTCATCATTCAGAAAAGTGAACTATATAGGGGAGTACTACAGCTGGGTCTCCCTTGCCTTCCTGAGTCCTAGAGGGAGATAGCGATATCTTAAACCATTGAGGCCAAGAAAGAAGGTGAAACATTCAGACATGCAGAAATCTCTTTTTTTCTTCTCTTTCCTTTCCTTTTTTCCACAGTTTTAAGGGGTATGTTTACTTGACACTGGGTTGTTTTTGTTATTTTCAGCCAGGTGTCCCTAGGAAGAGAGTGAGATGAAGAGAGAAAACCTCCCATTTCAGCAAAATTGTCTCAATAATTTTTTAAAGAATTATCTGTAATGGCATCTTTCATTTGGATGTCTTGCTTAAGGTCTAAAGATGAAATTGATCTTCCTATTCATGTTGTTTTTTGTCTGTCTTTGATAGATAGACTGGCAGTAATGAACAGCCATGACTTCTGCAGAACCTCTTCTCTTAGTTGCATATATGAAATATGTTGTGTAATCTGGAGGTGCCTAAAATGAGAGGCCATTCCCACAAGATCGCACCAATGTTTAAGATACAATTATGTGTGCTCTCTGGATTCTGCTGGGTCCCACTGTCCCTTAGTAAGATTCAGAGATACCCACGAGCTCTGCTAGACTTGAACCCTTTTTATGGGAAAAGAAAAACAATGGCAAGTTGAAACCCTTTCCTTTTGCACCAAAAAGAGCCATTGCTTGGTGGTTTGCATATACTTTCAAAATGTCTTTCCTCTTGTTTTGTCCTTGCTTTGATCAGCAGTGAAATGGTTAATGATGTTGAGATTTAAATAGTGCCGTTATGGGTCTAAATTAAAATTCCGATTGATTAACACCTTTCAGAGCTGTTGTTCTCTGCAGATTCACACAGACATCACTGCATCAGTTTACACTTGGTTCACCTTTGCAAGGTTACCTCTGCAACTGAAGAGGATTTTTAAAAATAAAAATTAAAGCTGAGACTGGAGAGTTAACATATAGCTTGGGGGAGATGCTGATGTTTTCTATTGCTGCACTAATGGGCAATTCTTCATTGTGCTATGGCACACAGAGTGCTTCGAGTGGGCACTGCCGTTTGGCAGTAGAACAAAGCCAGTTTATTACTAGCAGGGAATACCCTACAGTGGCAGATGGCTCAGCCAGACCTCCTTGCAATGAGGAAAACTACAAACTTTTATTTCCAGTGTCTGACTTGCATGAGTGACTGGTGCCTCCTGAATCTGGGGGGGCACCTGCAGAAGCTGCAGACCCTGTCAGGGGGGCACTAGTATCAGTGTCCGCTGTCAGGGGGGTACCAGCCCCATCAGAGGGGGCACGTGCACCCCCTACCAATCACCTATGCTCACTTGCCTTATGAGTCTGTCTTGCATCCAGCCGTTTTCCTGGGCTGCATTTGATTTGGGGAGAGATTGTAGCCTGGAAAAAGAATGGGTCTGTGTTTTCTGCTGGTCCTCGTTATCGATGGTCCTGCTGGGGCACCTTGGGGAGTCTAGCTGGCTCTCTGGGCATAAGCAGTTCCCACATTCCTCAATAATAGCCTTGGCAGTGCTGCCTCACTTTTTTCTGGCAAGAAATAAGTCAACTAGGATTAGAAAATTTGGCTCCAGGTTAAGCAGCCCTCACATCTGTCAGACAAGCACTCATTGCACCTCAATTCCAATACCTGCCTCAGGAGCCACATTCCTGATTGCAGAACTCCCTGCTTCCTCTGTTCTTCTGTGGGTCATGAATAGAAGCACTGGCCATACTGTGGACACCGCCAGAATCCAAGTATGTAGAAAAGGACTTTGTGGAACATCTCCTTTCCCCTTCTTCCACTTTTAAAAAACCTTTATCTTTCCATCTGAAACTATGGCCTCCCAGGCTAGTCACTGAGAAAGTTCTGTTCCCTGTAAGCAAGAATCTCGGTCCCAAAATTGACCATTTCCATCAATCCAGTGATAACCAGTAGATAACCAGGGGTGGTATAATCATACAGCAAAAGGCAACTTCTCAGATAACTAACAAATCCCTCAGTGGGCCTTGAAGATGAGAACCAAAGTCTTCCATTCGATTCAATGCTCAAACTCGAGCTGGAAAATAAAACATTGTATATATAGAGATAATCATATGCCCTTTGTTGCTGAGCACACGCCTCCTTGTGTTCTGAACCAGCAATATAATTTTTACATGAGGTTCGTGCTGGAAATTGTAATACTTATGTACTGGAAATGACAACAAGAAAAAAATGTATAGATCACCCTGGCTACAGACCATGGTAGGAATAGCACAAGCTTCTTTGCCAATCATAGAAGAAAAATGGTGTTTTTAACTACTACTAATGAGATTAACTAATGCTACGAGATTATTGCAGAGCAGCTGAGAACTTCCTGGTGCCCTACCTGTGAGCTATAGGCTGGTACCTTTCAAAGAAACCCATAAAGGCTCACAGAGGGAAAGGAAAATAAATGCAGTCATTTTTAGGACAAGATCAGGTTTTTGAAACAATCTCTGATCCCAGTTTCATTCTTCACTCCCACCCTATGGGAACAAACTCCTACAGGAAGAACAAGTAAGTAGGATCTCTGATGTTTGTCTCACCATATTCATGGAGTACAGTATAATGAATAATTTTATTGCTGAATTCTCCTGCTTGCCTTCATGGAGTATAATGGTAATGGGTAATTCTCAGTGCCTGGTTCCCTGCTCACCTTTAAAAAGAGCAGCAAAGAAGACCAGTGTAGTAAAGACCTGTGCTGGTTATGGCATACTTGTGCTTAAAATTTTTCCTCTTCAAGGCTAGTACTCCAAATCAGAAATAGGGCATGAAAATGTGCATTTGTATATAAAACACAGCAAAGAAAGAAGATGTGCTCTTTCAAAGTGTACTAAAAACAGTGAAATTATGTTTAGGGCTTTGGTATCTCCCTAAAAATGTCACAATAATATATTTTTCCTCATAGATTCATAAAATAGTGGAGTTGGAAGGGACCTCAGGAGGCCCTCTAGTCCACTTAAGGCAGGATTGCTCCTAACTAAACCATCTTAGTCAATAACTTGCTCTGAAAAATATCCAAAAACGGAGATGCCAAGTACATGGGGGCACTGAGAGTCCTGCCCCACCTTGGGAAGAGGTCTGTTACCTGAAATACATAAAACTTTCCATATGTCCATCATCTTAGGCCCACCCTGGCAAAAATAAAAGCCAGCACCTATGTCCTGGCAATTCCACCACGTCTCTGAGTAGCCTGTTGCAATATGTAAACACCATCGTACCGAGGAGGATCTTCCTTATGTCCAGCCTAAGAAACATGTCATTCAGGGCTGTCTGACTTCTGAATGTCTGGGGGCTGCACGGCCTCATGCTGCCTGGGCTGCAAAAATTCCCCAAGTGCCCTTGCAGGCT